AGCTTGTGTGACCGCACCAGTACTTGCACTCACGTCCGAAAACGTCAGAAGGCTTCAATGATACCAATTGAACGACTGGGGCGATCTGCTCCAGCGGTGTAGACTAAGGGTGGCTTCATACTGTGTATCGTCAGTTTAGTGTGCTTTCGCGAACGTGTCCTATCACTTGGTCAGAAGGACGATGGCTCTTGGTTTTGAGCAATGCGAGGCTGATCCTTGTGTCATGCGTTTGGTGGGACGTGGTGCCGTTTCTGTTGTCGTAGTCATACATGTGGACACCATCTTTGCCATTGGACGTAAGGGTAGGTTTGATCAGTGTGGCGCCGACTTTAACGAGTATGTCCGAATCGCCCCACCTTGGGGAAGCTTCGGCGGCATGCCGGTTGCAATTTCATGCAGGACAGGGTTGCAGGTACCATCAAGATTTACCAACATGCGTCCGCTGAGAAGATCGTAACCAAGCTTGATGTGACTCGTATCCAGCAAGATCACCCCTTCCTTGTGGTTGTCGGGTTGAGGCTCGACGATTTCGATGAGGAGGGAGCAGAAGTTGAGGAGCCGTTTCGATCACTAGTCGGTCACCTGATGTGGCTGCCAAACCAAACTCGCCCAAATGTTATCCTGAATGAGGTTCGAGTTGTCACAAGGTATTCCCAACTCCCACGCATCAGACTCGTGTACTGGCAGAGCGGCTTTGCACGTCCTGTAATATGTAAACTCACGAGTGGTTTTGGTATTCTCAGCGAGAAATGGGCAGCGATATCGACTTGGAGTTGTGCGTGGATTCGGATTTTGCGAGCAGAGACACCAACCGACGGTCTGTGTCTGGAGGTCAGGTGTCGTGATGTGTGCTATTTAGGCGCGTGTGCCATTTTTCTCGGACGCGGAAGAAAAATGTCATCCCCACTTCTGCTGAGGCGGAGTATGTTGCCATGCCCGCGGGAAGAAGGGAGACGATTTATTGCGGTATCTCTGGAGTTTTATTTTTCCGGATCGCGGCATTGGCCCAACTTCAGTGAAAGAGGATGATGTGGGGGCGATTCACCACCTAAACGCGAAGAACCCGGCGACTACGCCTACCTCTAAGCACATCGACGTTCGTCACCATTTTATTGGGGAGGGTGTGGCAAAACGGAGAATTCAAGGTGTTCTTTTTTTGTGCCATCCGCAGAGTAGCATGCGGAATTCCTCATGAAACCGCGGCACCAAGGGGCGTTTGAAGCGCACCGGAGGGTTAGTGGTAAATGTTCGTTGATCTTTTGTCTGTTTTTTCCCTGTGGTTGACATTGGTTGGATTTGGTCACTTTTTCGTAGCATTTGGATGCTAATAATCTTGGGGGGGAGTTGAGGATGACGTGATTCAACAGGCGAATGAAGCAGCACGAATAATAGAAGTAATAAAAGTATACAAGTATTTGTTTTTGGCATGTTTCTGGTATCCGCGTTTTACCTGCGGGTTCTGATGAGAGTATAGAGAGTTTTTTGAACAGGGGGACTGTTACCAGAAAGCATGAGGGATATGCAGTGGAACGGATTGTATTATATGTTAGAGGTTTTGCCAACATTGTTTTTCCTTCTCTGTTGGTTTTCCATTCATCTTGTAGTACTTTACTCTTGTGTTTTTCCTGGAGATGGCATTGAACTCTGGTGTTGGAGTTGTTTTTCTTGGAGAGTGTTTTCTGGGTATATATCCCATATGCTGGATGTGTTTGAAGAGAAGGAAACGTAGACTTTCACCGAAACTCGGAAAATGTCGGAGATCTCGTAAATCTGAGTGGAAACTGGGAGAGTTCGGAGATATATATGGAAGAGCAGGAGGATTTACGAGTGTGGAGATAATTAATGTTGGATTTAGGGTTTCATTTTTATCCAGGTAAGGTTTGAAGAGTCTCCAAGATCGTACCGCGCACCGACTAGGTGGGACGTTTGGTGTACACGGCGGTCGGTATGATACACCGAGCCTGGGGGTTGGTAGTGTTATCCGATGGATAGAGAGAGTTGCGGAGCCCCCTGAGCCTTGGGCTCTCTAGCTCACCTCTTCCCGGGCTCCATGCACGTCAACACGACTGATGCCGTAGCAAATGGGAGCACGTGTTACATATTATCTTCATACGGATATACATCGGCTGCTACTAGGGTGTTAACGTCTTGTCCCCCCCCGAACACTTCGGCATTGTCTGGCGATATTTCGAAGAATGAAACTGAGAAGAGCGCCACCCTCGTGAAGTTGAACATGCCATGATCCGTACACAGAGAACGACGAACATCGACCCAGGGTCGTCGAAGAAGCGGATAATGTCACGGTCGTCCAGGACACGGAGAGTAGGTCCAGAAATCTCGTGGGGGCTCACGCCAGTTCGTTGAGTTGATTTTTTTGACACGAACTTTGTGCGTCCACGGGTCTGTAGGCGAGGAAACACAAAGAGCGAGCATGGTAGGTTTTCCACAATCTGTGCCAAAATTTGTTGTCCCTTGCGCGAGTCGCGGGGCTGGGAGTAAAAGTGTGATTAACAGAGGCAACAAAGCCGAAGAGGGACAATACAAAACCGAGAACAAGAGAGCAAAACAGAAAGAAACGACAAACAAGCGGGAGGAGCGTGAACGAAGGCGAGCCAAAAGCTGCACCGTGGTGGTGGATAAAGCGTGCTATTCGGCTGACAGAAGCGCCTACAGAGGGCACAATTCAAACACCTTCACAAGAACAGAGCACAAGATGCGATTCATCTGGGGAAACGAGCAGAAAACCCATCACATAGGCGGCGGGCGTACTCACGACATCATGACAACAACGGAAGTCCGCGATCTATCCGGACAAACGGCACCTGCTATCTTCTTTTCATCGAATGCTTTTTTTTCTATTGAGACTTCGGAGAAACGGGAACAATACACGAACACGAGGACCACCAATCGAGGCCAAATCGACCCGACGTCACTACGAACTGCTCGAACAACATGCCGACGATGGAAGACGTACGGGGAGAGACAACGAGAACGACACGCTTGCAACCCGCACGGCTGAGCTAAAGTTGGAACGGGTTACAGCTGGTGGCACTCCACAAGGAGGTCCACAAAAACGTACAGTGGGGGTCTCCGAATAAGGCGGCGGTGGGGCAGCTGATAATGGCCGCCTTTTATCGGGCAGTCGCCTTATTCAATATGTGATTATTCCGTACATGCAAGCCACACCCACAAGGGCACGATCTACCGCAGTCACGCAACACACCGCATACATACACCGCGGTGCTGTCGTCTCGAGTCTTCTTCAGCAACATGGAAATTCGGCGGGCTTTCTTCTGCTTCCTCAAGGCATAACTCATTTGTTTCGTACACTGTGGGGTGAAAGGGGCCACCGTCACACAAGCCAGGTTTACATCTCAGGAGAGGGATCAGGATGAGCGGGCAATGCTGCAGCAGCACCGCACACCCATATCGTGCGATTTCTCTGTCAGCCGCAACAACTGATGCTCGGCGAGCTTTCTATGGCTTGCACGCAAGGCTCCTATCCTTGGTTTTCCTTCGAGGTGATCATATCGAGACAGCCGATGAACAAAATAAAAAATGCAAGCCACCTGACATTGAAAGCGTCGCAACAGCGGAAAATAATCATACACCACGCAAATACAACCGATCGCCGATGGGGGATGTCCGTGATATCCGTTACAATAGCGCGTATGGGAGCACGTGTCAGCTGTGTGTGTTAGCCACGGGGCGCAATGGGATCTGCTGGTGATGTACAGTATGTGCTTGCGTCAGGTGGGTTTCGCCAACAAATGAACCTTTTGCAACACCAAGAACCAAAGCTTCCAAGCTGCCGGATCGTATTCTCTCACTTAGCATACAGTCTCAACGTATCTATCCAAAACACATCTCGTGTATTTGTATGTGAGCGAGTGAGTAAAACCTTCGCACGTGTGGCAAACTCATGGTTCAGAGAACAGCTACCGAAGCCGTTGATGCTGAACCACGCAAGATCGAGGAACAATCCTCGCGATAGGGGGGGCGCATGTCGGCTGTGCGACGTGTGTTAGTCAGGTGGCGCAAGAAGATATTCCAAGAGGATCTCTGTTTTTCTAGGCATGCCGGTGCGTACGTGCGGCAGGCGAATTCGTCTATCTGCCCACACCACGTACGGTATGAAAGCTGCGCAACAATATTGGACAGCTACTGCCGGATCGTGCTTCGCGTGCAGCATCTAGCAGATAAGATACCATTATCATTCGTGCGGTGATGCGTCAACCTCTCGTTCTGTGTTGTATTTTGGATCCTCTCTCAAAGGCAACCAAACGTTATCAGAGCAACCGATCGTTGGCACGCAACTTGGCAACGCCCCAGTACTTCATGGAAGTTTAGATTTTTTTTTTCAACCCTGCTGATGAGACGGAGGATCCTGCCCTGCGGCAAAAATTGGAAGAGCTCAAGTGCGGTGTTGAGCAGTGAACGCCAGACCAGCTGAGAACGGATCCGCGAGGAGCGTAGCAAACAACTCTACAGCCAGGAGTGTGCGGTGTTGGTCGCTCATCGCTCTCGGGTGGAGTGTGCGCCAGGTGGGTATGAGGACTAACCCGCCGCCGCGCCTACCGCAACCCGCCAAGAGGGCCCCTCGTAATATATGAATGTAGGAAACCGCCGTCATTATACCACCCACCACACGCTTTCAGCTCCGAGGCGGCCATTTGCGAAATATGTCAATCTTTTCAGCAGTGTACTATAGCAGCTGAGTGTTGCTCGGAGTGATCAGCATAAGGATTCAAAACACGGCAGAACACATCCTTGTATTCACTAACATGCGATGGGTCGTGGTTTAAATGCGCTGGGGTGGTTGTTTGGGGCGGAAGATCGGGAGACAAGAAGAATACCGCAGCTGCATGTTTGGCATCCCCCCATTGCAACAACAGGCAACCTTTTCGAACTCCCCGCTCGTGATTGCGCCGCATTTTTGTGTTCCCCGTCAAGGTGATGAGGAGCACTTTGTTGCACACAAACACGATGCCCCGTACAAGGCCAACTCACCCACACCTGGTACCGGCAGCCCTGACTGTTGGGCGTGTGTTGCTCGTGTCAATGGCGGTGTGTCTGATGCGAGCCGCTGGGCTTGGAGCCTCCCGTCCTCTCGCATTTGCGGCGAGACATCAGCGCGCGTGCTCTGCGGCGGGCAGGAGTAAAGCTTGGTGCTCACGGGGCGGCGGCGGCGGCGGCGGCGGCGCCAGCGCCAGCAGGTGAACGGCACGTACTTAGCGCCCGGAGAGACTTTTTTTGTTTGGGGTGTTTAGGCAGACCTCGTGCGCACCGGCAAACTTTTATCGCAGCGCGCGAGCGTGTCGTGGAAACCACCAGAAGGCAGATCACATCATCAGCCCAACACAAGATACGAAGCTGTCTTCCGCATGCAACGGATGGACTAGGGAGTAGGACCAGGGCGTGACGAGCGATGTTTCTATGCATACTACAGAAGTCACTCTCCGAGTTTTGCTCGAAACATCTTGAACCAGTACGCGAGCACCAGTCACTGCTGCTGCTACTACCTTGGCCCACGCTGCACGCCACAGGTGTTGACTATGCTCACTAAACGTTGCACCAACGGCCTACTGCTGTACCCGCCTACATAACTGCAACTCAGTTACAAATCCACAGGCGACAGCGTGTTGTATCTTCATGTCTGACGGACGGTACTGTAATAGTCACCACCAAGCTACGCATTCGTGGGCTAGGAATTATACCTGAGATACTTGGCGAGAAAGGCAGATGCGTCTATGGGATCGAGGCGCCCTTCGGGTATCATTTTATTGTCGCTGCATGCAACTGCAACAGCAGAGGAGGTGTGCTGCAGGGTGAGAGACGGGAACGGGGGGGAAGAGCGTTGGAGGGAAGGCTCGTATGCCCTAGGGCTGACTCCAGTTGCGGAAGGGATCTGAAAGAGAAAATTCACGTGTTCCTCCCTGCCACACATACAGTGTAAAAAGAAGACACCCCGCGAGCAGCGGGAGTTTCTTATCCTGCCATGTGTCGGGCCGGAGCATTCATCTGATTTCCGGCGTTGTCGGGCCTAATCAGGCCATCCTGCGACGGCGGGGGCCTCAACATTCATCCGATACAAGCAGTTCGCTACTTTGACAATATGAAGGCACCAAGGCTCTAATAAAGCCCAGAGGATACCATTCTGGTTGTAGGACACGAGAAAATCGGAGGCCAATCGGTAATTCAACCAGGCATTTCATGATCCAAGTATTTCTGGCTTGATCTCTTCTGCCTGCCCCAGCTTCTTACAGTACAACCGTTGCCGCTCACCTCGGCTGAAAAAGCGCAATAGGCGAGCCTTCGTAGGTACTTCGCACGAGCGTGAAGTGTTGCATGACGCCCTCGGAATTCCTCGTTTCCAAAAATTCGAGTCGATCCTCGATGCCAAAGCTGAGTCTAGACGTCACGTGAAAACCAATCGCACGGACCGCCCGCAGCGAGCAACCGTTTCAAACGCGTCGCTGCCGCAGGCTGCTATCCCCAATCCTGTACGCGAAACATGTATTGTGCGGTGCATGGTTTTTGTCAATGAAGGGTTAGCTCTCGGGCTTTGGGCACGGGGGTTCGCATGGGCGCGGCTATCAGCAGAACCGCAATAGCCAAAATGCGCGTGGCGGAGCTGAGGGAAGAGCTTGCAAGCAGGGGTCTCGACAACACCGGCATACGACCTGTGCTGCAAGGTCGGCTCATCGAAGGTGAACTTCTAACGATTCGGTCGTCGGCCTGCTTCGTGGGGATTGTATGTGTTTTTGATGTCCGTAACGCTGCCATGGCGTGTTGTGTGCCCGGTTGATACAGGTTCATGGAACCAGTCAAATTTTCTTTGATAGTATACCTGGATGTTCTGCTCTTTTTCGTCGGTTATTTTAGAGTGGCAACCCCGCACAACCCCCATCACGTGTCCACAAGGTTGGAAAACCTTGGCGAGGATAAGGTGGGAAGGCTTGGGCTCTATTCGTGTTGTGCATTGTCGCGCCGGCCGACCAACGCGACTGGTTGATGCATACCGGTATCGACACGACTAGCACCTCGAATTCACGCCTCCTTGATCCCCCGCTGACCTTTTGCGCAGCAAGACTCTGGGTCTGGGGTGAAGAGGTAGGCCGATGCTTGACGGCGTGTTGGTGTGTAAGGTGGGACGTGTCGTAGTAGTTGACGTGACTCCACTATCCGGCGGCTGTATTTCAGGGGTCATTCTACCTGTCACGTGGTGTGGTATATTATATCAATACTTGAGAGAATATATGTTTTTGACGCAATGGTCTGTACAAAAACCCGGACATCCCGTGTACTGTTCGGCAGTTTCTTCAGGCAATATGGCATTTCCCGCGGTTGCGGGAAAACAAATACGAGTGTTATGTGGGAAGTAACAACGTAGTGGGAGCATTTGCATCGCTTCTACTCCGACTGCAGTAGTCGCCCAACGCGAGCAATCCGGCCAACAGCGGTCCTTACAATACCAGGGCCATCACATCCAGCAGCCATCCCGTCGTCTTTTCCACACGAGTGCGTCCACCCATCCCATATCGCCAACACTGACCACCAACACACCCACGCGATCGCCCACACCTCTTTTCGAACAGCGAAAGAGACGGAGTGGGCGCAGGCCGTTATCGACCGATCCCGTCAGCGGGAGCGCTCCAACACGACCGAGCCGCCGCGTGCCGCTGGAACGACCGCGCCGCCGGGGCCCGCGCGATCGCAGGTCGCCACGAGCCAGGCGGCTCGGACACCTTCCCCGCGAATACGACAACAACAACAACAACGCGGGATCAGTACGAGTAGCACCAAGCCCGGACGGCAACGATCAACCACGCACCTCCTGCAGTTCGACGGAGGATCGAGAGGAAACCCCGGGCCGAGCGGTTGCGGTGCCGTGTTGTATAGGTGAGCGGTTGGGGGGCGCTAGCGGCTCGGCACCCCGGGCTCGGTCTTTGCGCGTCCCGAAGAATCGTGCCGTTGCTGCGTCGTTCAGCTTTCTATTTAAGGGGACTTGCCTTCTTTGCCCAACACATGTGCGCTGCCCCCCCTGGTTCAGTGCAGCAGAGTAACTTCCATGAAACGCGTCACCGCGACGATTCGGCGCCACGGTATCTCCCAACTGCTGTAGTCGCGCTTTAAGGTGTTGCGCTTTGCATCCTCGCGTACGGCTATTTGGGGCAGGGTTAAGGCTGTTAAGTTTTTCGACGACGGCGACGTCGTGTCACCGGCAAAACACAACGCGCCAACATGCTACCCGTCGGCCAGTATCGCCAATCGAAAGTTTCATCCACCCACGCTTCTTCTTCCCTGTCTCCGGCATGCCTCGTCGTGAAACCTTGCACGCACGCTTGCGTCGGCGGTCAAGGCTGGACGAAAGCGGGGAGCGGGAAGAGGTGTGGAGCAGCAGCGTGTGGATTGGGGAGAAGCGAACCAACAACGAGGCGGAGTACAGGGGTCTGATTGAAGGACTTATCGCTGCGGAGAAGCTAGGAATCAAGGTGAGACAGACTCCTATACGAAAATAGATGCTGCGAAAATAGATGCTGATATGTACCTCGCTCGTGTTTATGAGTTGCTCGTGACATGTGATGTCGAAGTCGTTCCAGACAGGAAGATACGCTGGGGTAAAGTGGTTTGTCATTGACCTGCCTGTTGTAGCGCAAGGGTTGGCCGTGATTGCTTCCGGTGCGTGTGCGCGGGGTTCTGAGTCCGTTGGCCAGGCGGGAGAGAACCAGCCTGCGGTGTCTCTCCATGTTACGCTTGGCCGGGGATACGGTAGAGTAGGGAATACCTGACTCTAACCCAGCGTGTGCCGACGTTGGTCGTCAGTGTTTCACCTCGAGAATTTTGTCTTGTCATGTGATAGTACCGTAGCAGCAGCGAGAGTCGCCAAACACCCCCTTTCAAGGCTCGATTGCTCCCTCCACAACCAATAGGCTGCCGATGCCCCCAGAAACGGTGGCTTCGGAAAGATCTCGTTGAGAGCTTGCCCTCGCAGGTATCGCTAGGTTTTCGCACCCTCTTTGTTGCGGAGCATCCGAGCTTTGGAGGCCGGTCCATGCGCGATGGCTCCTACTTTTCAGAATATCCCCGGGCGGTGTGTATGCGCGCGGTCGTACCGCAAGTGTCGTGAGATTTCACAACCTTGATCGATTTTTAAAGCTCGATTTCTCAACGACGAAGAGGATGTATAAACCAAACGTCACGTTATCTGAAAGCTCTCGACGAGACGGTTCCAACGCCAACATTTTTCGGCGTCGCCACTCTTTCTGCCGTGGAGTAATCGAGCTGCTTTGAAAACCAGTCCAGGGGGTGTGATATCTTACGTCATGTCACCTACGGTAAACAGAAGGCGTAAACAAGTCAAGAATACGGGAAGGAGTTTAGAAATGCAGGCTAAAAGAACGACAAAATGGAGGACTTAGCAATAAGAACAGAGGCTCAATCGAGATTCCTACACTATATTAAACCAATATTGTCGATGGTGGGTTACCCCCAAGAAGAAACTAAGACACGACCCTAGGCCAAAATGAGAGGTTGATGAGTGATGGCGCCGCGGACCCCTGTGGGCTATTCCGTTTCCAATTGTTTCTGCTTTGGAGATCTGTTTGACTCACACAGCAAGCGCCGTTCACGGAGGGAGTGATGAACAACGTGTTGGTCCCATTTCCGCCGCGGCAAGTGGCGTTGTGGAGCCTACAACTTCAACGTGGCCAATAGACAAGCCTAGACAAGCCTTGACGTGCTTAAACCGTTGTTGCCACAACCAAGGGTACATATGAGTGTTGATACTTCTATCTACAAGAGCGTGTGTTTGATCCAGCAGTCGAGCTGGAAGCCACGATTGGCGCGAGCATGCGCGCCTACCAGTCGAAGCATGATGGAATGTACGAAGTAGATATCTCCGGCTCGTGCGGCGTGAGAGTAACCATGACGTGTCTGATCCTGCGGTATACTACAGTTATACAACACCGTTTCCACTGAGGTATTTAGATCTGCGCGTGCCTAAGGTCTCCACACTATTTCCACGCGAGATTTTGTCGCGTTATCGTTGTTGACCCGTCGACTTTGCCGATCGTGTACCTGATTCATCGCAACGCCAGCGGCTGTCTGTGGAGGGAGACTCGAAGCTAGTTATTCAGCAGATGCTTGGCAATTACAAGGTGAGTCGAGAGACCCGCTTCCACGTTTGCTGTTTTTCACCTTGACCATCCAGTGCGTCAGCCGTCGGTTGCGGTTTCGAACCACCCTGCAGTACGACCTTTCTTGGTGCAACCGCGCCTGTTAACGTCGATCCCATATGCAGTCGAGTGGCTATTCATGTTCATGAGTAGTGGTAGAGGGGAGCGGAGGGCCCCAAACTATCTGTCGTTGATTTCAATTGGCTTGCGGACGCTTCGGGTCCACTTTATGTGAGTATACGCTTTGTAGGTAAGTTCGCCTGTGACCACGGGAGTCGACCGGTGAAGTGTTAGACTACAATAGTACGAACAGATGAAGGTACTGGGTAGACAAATCGGAACGTTTTTTTATTGTGAAGAAAAAACAGTTACATTGTCGGTTGCCCTCCTCCCCCGAGGACAACGGAAGGGAAAGCAAGGCAAGACAGAGAGAGGGGGAGTTGGAGGAGGACGAGGAGGAGGGGTGAGCTCATACACACAGAACCCAGTACACGTTCTTTGTATGCGAAAAGCCCGAAACACCCAGTAAGCTCCCAACCCACACGAAACCGTCGCTTCTGGAGAGAACACAGCGGCAACCTTCCCTCTCTCACGCGAAGAGCCTCCAATCCGGGGTGACTTGTCCGACAAAACATCGGAATTACTGTGAAAAATGTTTGTGCTAGAAAGAAGTATTTCATAAGACGGTACAAGGTGCTGCGCGCTGTGAGGCTTTGAGTACGTGGGAATGGACCTCTTGTTGCCGCGTTTTTGGCCAACGCTGTCAGTCGGAGCGAGTATGTCATTTTTGGTTGCACACATGAGCGCGAGGACCCTGACTCGTACATATCTCCGGCTGTCGTGGACTCTCGCAACTGTTGTTTTTTGATTTTTTTGTCAGGAGGACCAACCTTGATTGTATCGCGCGAACGTTGCGGCCCGGTTGCATGAGCAAACGCCCCCTTTCCCTTCCAAGTGCACAGCAGCAGTTGGTATGGTTACGGGTACGCTCTCAGCGAGTGCGTTGAAACCGATGGCTCTGTCATGGCCAGGCGTCGACGCCTCCTTTGTTGTTTCTCCCTGCTGTTGGTGACGTACACCTCTCCCCTGCCCCCGTTCTGTGCTGTAACGCTGCTGCTTCTCTCGTGCAGGTTACGAGCCCAAAGATGCAACCTCTGTTTAGAGAAGCCACGACTATATCGAAAGCCTTTGACGCGCTGGAACTGGGGCACATTATGAGAGCGCATAACGAGCGGGCAGACGACCTAGCGAACATCGCCATGGATACCGAAACATCCAGCTCTTGCACCCACCGGAGTTACTCCACCGACCTCGCTGAACCAGAGGAATAGGTTAGCGCTGAGCAAGAGGATAAGGTTGGTTTAGTATGCCAATGTGGCACTACGAAGTGTCAAAACGGTTGTGAAAAACATGGAGCAGTGGCGACCACACGGGGGGAAAACAAAACAAAAGCGCTGCAATAGGCAGCAGGAGTGCAAGACGTTTTTGTGGCGGCTCGCGTGTTTCACCAAAACAGCATCCTTTTTGGATGGATTTTTTTTTTCGTTGTAGTTGTCCCTACACCTCATTCTCTGGACGCTTTTTCGTCTCTTTGCCTTTAGGAGTGTCAAAACAAAGCGGAGAGGAACATCGCCATTTGCGAAGAGTCGAGAGTTGGGGCCAAAATCACTTCTTGCCGTTTCGACAACATCCCATGTCGAACTGTTGAAGTTAGCTGTCTTCCTGTCGAGTTCCACACTGTTGTGCATACTGGACCGATCAAGCCGCGACGTTGAGTGGCGGCACATACATATGATGGGACATCCGGCACGTAAACTCAGGCCGTTTTTCGTGATGCACGAATTTTTGGTCAAGCAACACGCCTAGGGGGAGAAGGAAGCACGAAGTGTGATGAGCGAAACCAACGTTTCGACAACGATTTGTTGCTCGGTCCAGTCCAACAGAGTCTTTTTCTCCTTTCTCGCCTGTGCAAAACTGTTTTTAAGACGATCGCCACGGCTGATTGCGCCATGCGGTTCGGCGATATGCGAACGAAAGGCGTTGCATCGATCCTTGGCTAGCGGGAACTTTGGAACAGCAGCAGTGATGGACTCTTTCTCGATTATTCGAGCGAAGCGAGATTTATAATTTGGACCGCCGGCCCCCCGAGTTGAAAGGGCCGGCTGAAACCCAAAAAAACTTGCGTTTCTGTACGCGCTTATCCAGGTTTTACAGTATAGACTACTTAGTTGATTTTAGACTACAGGGGTCAGCAGACGCACTACTTTTTTTTTTTTCGGAGGACACAACGGATTGCAGCAGAGAACACATGCACTGGGGGCGACACCACACAGCAGGCAACACACACACAGCAGACGGCGTACGCATAACAGGCGGCACACATGCACAGCGGGCGACAGCATCTGGGCTCGATGCCGCTGGACTCTCTGTGGTGTGATGAGGCTATGTATTGTGCTGTCGCGCATGATTTCACGATTTCTTTTGACCGCCGCGTTCAACGGTCAGCAATTTGAGGACAGCACCACTTTCCCCACATAGTTTGTCAAGATCTACACAGAAATAGATAGAAACCATACAGAGTGTACTTCCCGCATGGCGACACACCCACCCTGGCTTGCTTGCTTGACAAAACTAAACTCGGCGTTTGCATTATTTCCGAGCATGCCGCCACATGTTGCTCCCCACATGTGTCCACGAGTCAGTACCCTCAAACCAAGCGACGAATCGCAAGGTGCACCGGGCGAGGATTTTCGCTCGCATCACGCCTCGCCGAAAACAAAGGTTTCTTTTGGAATCTGTCTGTCCCACAACAAGCCGGTACTTTACCGTACCGTGACGCCGGAGAAGTCACAAGACGTCACGGTGGTGCGGTCGACGCGTCCTTCCAATCAATCAAAACACACACATATCGAGGCAACAAGGACGCACTTCGATTCGCAAAAAGAAAGCACCCCAACCCGACTGGCCGCGTTCGAACGGCCTGCGTACGACGAGGGTTTTGACACCCCCATCTCTGTGCACTAGGTCCAAATCTACGGCATTGGTTTGCGAGGAGAACAACGGGAGCGCGACGCGTAGACTCTCTACATACAATCTCTTCACACTTTGAAAGAGAGCATGTACCATGTATCCAGTGCCTCCTTGCGGAGAGAGTGTTAAAAAAAAAATAGGGTATGCTATCAAAACACCACCGCTAACAAACACACAGGCACCAGCAGCGGCAGACAGAGCGGCAATGCCACGTTCTCGACGATGTCTTCCGAGCAAGCGTAAACACGACAAGTCGCCATGACACCAATGCAACGGCATCGCCAAAGTTTCGCGAAAAGCAGGTCGACATTTCCGGAAAAACCTCGCGACTGAACGAACAACAGCCGCTGGCTGTTGGGAGCAGTGCTTCACATGATGGGCACGCCAAACAAATCTTACCAAAACCTGCGACTCTGGTTGTACGCGGTGAATGAATCACTCACAAACGCGCGGTCCCCTATCCTCCGCGCTCACTCTTGCTGGAGTTCGCCGCGGTTGATTCTACAAATTACTGGTCCATAACTAGTGCACGCCTCCCCCACCCCCTCGGTTGGTCAGCTAAGCTTGGCGAACGTTGTCCCAGGTCACAGTCAACACTGTTGTTAGGGCCTTTGCACGAGCTACGGCCGCCTTCTAACCGCGTCCGGTGCAAAAGAAACAGATTATGCTGCGCTTCCGTTTGTGGCAGCGGCTGCTTGCACCGCCTCATCATTGCCAGTTTCATTGAAGACTCTGTCGTTGAATTTGTCTTCGTCCCAGTAGGTCACCTCCACCTGAATGTTTCGACAAACACGCACAAAACAGCGCAATGCAAAATAAACATGCGAACAACAGGGTTGAGGGAGCTGGTGCAAAACAACGTTGCTGTACAGTCACCCATACAAAAACATGAAAAAAAAGGAGCTGGGAACAGAAAAAAGGAGTAGGGAACATTCCTTGACATGTGATTGAAAACCAAAGGCATGGAACATAGAGTCACCTTGCGGCCGTCGAACGTCCTTGCCCTGAGGCTAGCCGCCACCTTAATCTTACATGCACGTAAAGGCAGGTTGTTGGGCACTATTCAGTTTTAGGGACGCAGTATCGACTTCAGAACGACAATAAAACAACCAACGACTGGCACCTTGCGGCCGTCGAAAGTCCTCGCCCTGAGGCTAGCCGCCGCCTTCGAGGCCGAGTCCACCGCATCGAAGGCCACGAACACATACCCCACGCCCGGCTTCTCCGCCTCGCTTGTCGTGCTAGGGCGGGGGATGTGCACAGACTTGACGCTCCCGAACTTCTCACATTCCTCCTGCGGGCGACAAAACGACAAAGCGGCGACACGACAGGGTGAGGGATGTGAGTAACGAATACCTGGTGCACGAGTGCAAACGGGTGCACAGGACGACGACATAGTTGAAAAAAGAGACCGACAGACACACAGGAGCGTTTTTTAACGGAAAAAAAAAATCGTGTGTGATTGCTTTCCACCTCTCGTTGCGTCAAACACGTGCCGAAAGGCTGGCTGGCACCCAAAATAAGATCGAATGAAACATGTATACATACACATGTAGAGATCACTTAAAGGCTACCAATCTCCCAACGCCTGGCGAGGACTATTCCCTCTTTTCACATTTGCGTCGACGAAGAGATACACGCGAGATCCTAGACCATGGCCTTTAGAAGCGCCCTCTGCCTTATGCCGTACTGAGACGGGTGTCCAATCATTGGTCAGACGGTTGGAGCTGTGGGTGCTAACAGTAAAGACACACACACCACCCGTTGGCTTGAATGTCTAATATTGGTGTACGTCATTCGAATCAGAAGGGTCAAGAGCCCCTAAGTTCTTCACCATCTCCTCTTGCATACCAGTATAATTATCTTCGGACATGGCTCCTACTTCTCTCATTCGCCACAATGTATTGCAATCGCGGCGGGTACATGACAACTCCCTGCGATACGATGCACCAGGAACAGCCGCCGTTTGCCGCCCGACACAGGCCCCTACTACAGGTGTACATCTCGTTCGTTTGGGTTTTCCAGTTACATATCTGGCTTGAAGAGGCAGGCAATCATTCCTGACCTTTCTGTGTGACTACGGATAGGAGCCTCCTACCTAAACGGTAGAAACGCTGTGTGTGTGGGCGCTGATTTAAGGTGATGATTAATAAAATTAAAATCCTACACTACCGCAGGGGAATGGCGGGGCTCTAAACCAAGTAAAGATGAAAAAACGCTCCTGCGTGACCTTTCTTCTTGTGTGACCCCCGGGTGATACGTCAGATATATCATATTACTTCATGGTACACCGAAAGACGTGTGCAGTAGACTGGCGCCACAATAAATGAGACCAAGCAATCACTCTCAAACCTTTCTTGCGACCACGGAGCTACAGCAGTACACACACCCGAAATGCTGTGGCCGAGTTATATTGATGAAAAAAATAATGATAAAAACCACACAACCCAACCACTAACCTTGGTCTCCTCCTCGATGTCGCCGAAGCTGCTCTCGTCCGCGAGGTCCCCCGCCGTGAGCATGTTGTTCAGCCGCAGCGTGGTGGTGGGGCGGGGCATGTTCACCACGAGGGCGGCCACGGCAGCCTGCGCAGCCGCCTGGGCCGACTCGATGCCGCCGAAAGTGGTTGCCGGGGCGGGCAAAGCCGCGTTGGGGTTTCCAGACGTGAACCTTGGGGTTGAGATTTCGAGGAGGCAAGGGGGGGGGGGGGGGGGGGGGGAATCGGAAAAAAAAAAAAAAGAAACTTTTCACCCCTGTTGAGAAAAAAAAAAAAAAAAAAAAAAATTTCAAAAAACCGGCTCCCTTCCGGGGGACCCAACCCCAAAAGGGGGGCCCCATTTCACCCCCATTTGGGGAAAAGGCCGGGTACTTTCACGGCCAGGGTCCTCCCAAAAGGGTTTCTTGGGGGCCTTCTGAAGAAAAAAAAAAAAAAACTTCCCCCCCAATGGCCCCCCTTTTGGGGGGAAAAGAAACACCTTCCACCCAAGGAAGGCCCGAAAAGCTAATTTTCCCTATTTCCATTGGGGATAAAACAACCCCCCCCCTTGGGTCCCCAAATTTGGAACCCACCCCCCCCATTTTCCCCACTGGGCCCAACTTTCTTTTTTCCCCCCAAAAAAAAACTTTTTTT